GCCCCAAGATGTGCCCAAGAGGGGGACCACGACTCCAAAATTCGACCCTCCGGCTTGAAGAGTGCCCCAGGAGGCCCCTAGGAGCCCCCAAGAGGCCCCAGGAGGCCCCCAAGAGGCACCCAGGAGGCCCACACGAGGCCTAAAGAGGCCACAAAACAGCCCCGAGGAGGCCCCACAACGGTCCCAAAACGGCTACCGAGAAGCTGCGAAACTGCCTTCACGACGTCCCCGACAGGCCAACCACGAGATCCAAACCAACACCCATGAGGCCTCTGACCCACCACCCAGGGCACGGTGGCGGGAGCAGTGACAGCACTTGTGCACAGCATGTTCCGGCGGGAGCCTTCCGGAACACGCTGCAGGAGGAGGAGGAAGATCAGGAGGAGAGAGAGCTGGAGTGGGAGGAGGAGGAGGAGGGGGACGAGGAGGAGGAAGAGGTCTCCAAGACAGCTCCAAGATAGCCGAAGAGGCTTCCAAGAGGGCCCTGGGCGGCCCACGAGGGCCCCAAGGCGGTGCCTGAGGCGCCCAAGACGGCCCGAGAGGGCCCCAAGACGGCCCCAAGAGAGGCCCAAGAAGGGAAGCACGAACCGAGAATCCGAGCTTTCTACCCCGAGAGGTTCTCGGGAAGTCCCAAGAGGCCCCCAATCGGATCCAAGAGGCCCCCAAGAAGCTCCCAAGAGGGCCGACGAGGTTCCAAGAGATCTCCCAAGGTGGCCCCAAGAGGCACAACTCATTGTTTTACGATTGGGCTTTGACGGGTTTTAATTGTTTCGGCCTTTTGGCATCCCGATGCTCCAAGACGGCCCAAGAGGCTTCCAATACCGCTCCAATATAGAGGAAGAGGCCTCCAAGAGGGCCCCAAGACGGCCCGCGAGGGCCCCAAGACGGTGCTTGAGGCGCCCAAGACGGCCCGAGAGGGCCCCAAGAGCCCCAAGAGAGGCCCAAGAAGGGGAACGTGACACAACTGCAGAGCGTTCCCCCCAAAAGACCCGCAGGAGGCCGCAAGAGGCCCTCAAGTGGTCCGACGAGGACGCCAAAAGCTTCCCGAGGGCCCAAAAGGCCCTTAGGAGACGTCCAAGAGGTTTTAAAATAGCCCAAGAGTGCCCTCGATGCGTCAAAACTGCTTCCGGGAGGCCCCCGGGAGGCTTCCGGATTGCCTCAATTTGGCCGCAGGTGGCCTCAAGTCGGGCCTCCACACAGCCAAGACGGCCAATGACGGCTTCAGATTGCAGAACCGATGCCCCCAAGGGACCCTCAGACGCCCCCCAAGAAGCACCCAAGAGGTGCCTCCAACAGCCAGTTGACGAAGCATGCAGAACACCCCAGAAGCTCAGATGCCGTCGCGCGACTGTGCTTGATAGCGACGTCCAAGATCGTCCAGCGTCCCCCCCGGCCTGGGCTGGAACCTGAGCGCGCGAGAAGCGCGCGCGATGGTTCTAGTATATATATATATATGTGTGTAGAGATGTGTATGTAAGTATGTATGTATGTATGCATGCATGCATGCATGCATGCATGTATGTATGTTTGTTTGTTTGTATGTATGTATGTATGTATGTATGTATATATGTATGTATGGATGTATGCATATATGTATGTATGTATGTATGTATGTATGTATGTATGTTTGTGTGTATGTATGTATGTATGTATGTATGTATGTATACAGGTATGTATGTATGCATGCATGGATGCATGCATGCATGTATGTATGTATTCATGTATGTATGCATGCATGCATGCTTGTATGTATGTATGTATGCATGCATGTATGTATGTATGTATGTATGTATGTATGTATGTACGTAGGTGTGTATGTGTGTATGTGTGTATGCATGTATGTGTGTATGTGTATGTGTGTATGTTTATATACGTGGATGTATGCATGCATGCATGCATTATGTATGCATGTGCGTGTTTGTATATGTGCATGCATGCATGCATGTAGGCATGCATGTATGTATGTATGTATGTAGGTATGTATGCATGCATGCATGTATGTATGTTTGTATGTCTGTATGTATGTATGCATGCATGTATGTATGTATGTATAAATGGATGGATGGATGCATGGATGGATGCATGGATGGATGGATGGATTGATGTGTGTGTGTGTGTGTGTGCGTGCGTGTATGTATGCATGGATGTAAGCGTCAATGTAATTACGGATGCACGCAAGCATGCATGCATGTATGGGTGTCTTGGGGGGCATATTGGGGCCTCCTTGGGCTCCTTGGGGGCTCCTTGAGGGCCTGCTGGTGGAGAGCTCAACATGCCGATTTTTGCTCCCCTTCTTGGGCCCCTCTTGGGCCGCCTTGGGAGGCAGCCTTGGGCTGTCCTGGGCCGTCTCGAGGGCCTCAAGCGCCGTCTTGGGGCGATTTTGGGGTCCTCTTTGGCCGTCTTGGAGCATCGGGAGTCCGAGAAGGTGGTAACGCTATACTTGTCCAACGCCTCATCAGTCAATCATTTGGGCGGCTTGTGTCCCTCTGCCTCTCTTGGGGCGCTTTGGGGCCTCTTGGGCCGCCTTGAGGCAACCTTGGGCGCCTTTGGGCGATCCTGAAGCGATCCGGGGCGCTCTTGGGCAAAGTGGGGGGCGTCTTCCGGCCCTCTCGGCCGGGCTGTCTCGTGGCCCTCTCGAGCTGTCTCGGGGCCATCTGGGCCTCAGAAAAGCCACGCGGGGAGAGCGCCCAAGAGCGCTTGGAACTCCAGGCTGTGGGCCCCTTCAAGGGAGTTTTATTTGCATCATTCACGAGGCACGGTGGCGGACACGTATATGTCATGTTCAGGAGGGAAAGAAACACACAGACACAATTAATCGTCGAGTCCCAGGAAAATATTGGAAAATATGGGAATTGGGCGGGACGACAGAAACCCAGAACATATGGGAAAATGTGGGGAAACATTCTATTTGTGTGTATCTATTGGTGTGTCCCAGGGCCCCTTCAATAATGTGTGCGTGATTCTATACATCTATCCGCACACACACACACGTATTAAAAGCATAACACGGGGCAACTGGGGTCCGGGGGGTCCCTCCCCGGGGCCTCAGGCCGCCACGCCAGGCCATGGGGCTCCTGCGGGTCGCTCTCCGGGCTCCCCGAGCGCTCTCCCCGCACCTTCGCATCGCTCGGACGTGTGCATTTTTCCTTCGGCGAGGACAATCGAGGAGCATCCTTGATCATGCGGCGGAAAAGCCACGCACGAGATCGTAAAAAAGCACAGGGAATGGACGTCCGAGCGATGGCGAGGCACCCTTCTCGGCTCCCAGTGTGCTCCGAGAGGGGCCCGAAGCTCGGGCCGGACGAAAGGGGGGGATTGGGAAAGGGGGGGTTACGAAATCTGCTGCATGCAGCTGGTTTCGGCCTCACCGAGGGGCCCATTCCTCGATACAGGGCCGCCTCCGGCGCCGGGAGGCGCCGGGAGAACCGGCTACGCGAGCTGATTCTGAAACCCTCCTTTTGCTATCCCCCCCCTTTCACCCGACCCGAGGAGCTGCCGATCTGCGCCCTTGCACGTCCACAGCGCCCTCCAGTCTGCCCCAGAGGCTCCCGAGCGCAGCGAGCAGGCCCCGCGAGGTCAGACACGGCGTGGTGCGCGTGCAGCTCCCGCCTGTCCTGGATATCCCGCGTTCCGAGGCGGCCTACAGTCAACCCGTAATTAAGGTAAGGATGAGCAATTTCCCAAGGTTGCTTGCATCCTCTTCCTTCGGCCCATCCTTGGCCGCTTTCGCTGGCCGCGCCCCGATGAGCAATTTCCCAAGGTTACTTTGCATCCGTTTCCTTCGGCCCATCCTTGGCCGCTTTCGCTGGCCGCGCCCCGCTCGCAATGCGTCGGCATGGCCTTGTTGGGCCTCCTGCATCCTTGCCGCACATCCTTACTATACGGGTTGACTGCAAGTGGTCCCCGAGACCACCCGAAGACTCTGCGCGCACGAAATGGGTACTGAAAGAATGGGTACAATGCCCAACAGCGGACCTGGTTCATTTTGCACAGGGCTCGCTGTCCACGCCGCCGCGGCCTGTGTCCATTCGAGACAGGAGGCCGCCTGCCCAACAGCGGCCGCTGTTGGTTTGGGACAACATTTGCTGTTGGGCACTGTACCCATTCTGTCGGTACACATTTCGGGCGTCCAAAAAGACGGCCCCATCATAGGCCACGAGGGCACCAATGTGGGGGCCCTGACACGGCTTCCCCGGGCCCCCCAGACGGACTCCCCGCACCGGCCCTTGGCTCCCGGGCGGTCCAAGATGGCCCCAGATCGGCCCAGCGGCAGCCCTCAAGAGCCCATGACGCCCTCAAGTCGGCCTAAGGGGCTCCCAGGGCGCAGCGATGGGGAATCAGGGGCCTGGCATACACACATATATGTATGTATGTATGCATGCATGCATGCATGCATGCATATATATATATATATATGTATATATATATGCGAATATGTATACATCGGTTCATACATATAATTATATTCGTATATAGACAAGTGGCACGTGCGTGCCCAGGCTCATACAAAAAAAAAACTGAAGGGGCGTTTGAAGCAGGAGTGAAATGCAACATCGAAGTCGCACTCGAGCGCAAGTGGGGTTGCCACACCTTGCGATGTGTGTACCAGGGCCCCCCAGGAAGCCTTAGGAGGCCCGACTTGGATACCAGAAGAGGCTCCAGGAGGCCCCAGGATTGTGAGTGTTGTGCGTGTGTGTGTGATGTGTGCTTTGTGTGGTGCGTGCTTTTTGTGTGTTG